TTAATTACTAATTATAATTAGGGAAAAATATTTTTTGAGATAAGTTTATCTCCGGCTATCACAAGACTACGTCGTTTTGTTTATTTATTTTCTTATATTAATTGATTCACCTTTGAATGGTTATGATTTCCTTTTTCTCTCTCTTCTTTCATTATCATTTATCCATCTTTATAGGATTATAATTTAATAGTCAGAGATAAAATTATCTTGGACACCTTAAAAAATGATAAGCCCTTATAATTATTATAAATATATTATAACACAAGTGTTACTGATTATTTATAATATATTATGATCACTAACACACTGTACTTGTGTTATAATATATTTATAATAATTATATTAATTTTCAAGTGAAATTCAAACACGTGTAGGGTCGACATGCAGGGCGGAAAATGATTATTGCTTTCCAAAAGTAAAGTGAGGTGAATGTTGCAAAGGTCAACAATTGCAACTTGCCAGATTAATGTGGTTTTTGTGTGTGCGTGTTTTCGAATTTTGTGCAAGATGCAAAATGGAAAGTAATACCTCTATTGACAGTGTTGTTTTGTATTAAATGTATTTATTTTATGAAATATATTTATTATAAGGGATTAATATTTTTTATATTATAAGATATAATTTTGTCTTCTATATATATATATATATATATAAATAAGTGGAGTTCATATTCTCTCTCTTTTTTCCTCACATGCCCTCATATAGACCTTATACACTTTATATATAGGAGATATAATTATTTTCTACAATACTAAAAATATTATTCCCTTATTATAATAATAATAAAGCATGGAAAATTAATTTCTTATATTGTATAAGATTCATAGCTCATGTTTCACTCACATACAAAGATATGCTTCTTCTTTTTTTAATTTGTGAGCTTCATTTTGTTTATTGTTAGCTTTGAAATAAGCTTGAATTATTAACTTGTTTTCAAGGTGATTGGCTGATATAACTCAGGTTGAAGGTGAAAAGTGGGCTGTCTAAGAAAATAGCCCGTTAAGGTAAAATGGTTAAAAAAATAAGAATTTGGTAATTTACTTATATATTTTATGAATTGCTTGCAGATTTAAAAAAAAAGAAGAGCACAAGAGCACGTGACCAAGTTAACGAAAGTAAGAAACAAAATTGGACCATTGGATGAACATAAAGAACGACGCCAGCAGTACTTTGGATGATTTTTAGTTAAAAGGCGTTTTTTGGGTTGTGATGTACACATTGAAGTCTTATTTTTTATTTGCAGTTGAGAGTGAATTTTCTTTAGAATTTTCTTGAACATTTTGTTAAACTTGGTGTATTAGTCTTCTGGCTCTTGAAGATAGGGAATTGACAAGCTTCTTTCTAGAGAGATCAAATACAAAACACATGCAAGCTTTGAAATTCTGCAATATTGAGTAGTTCTAGCATTAGGAGTTTTTCATTTCAAGAAGTACTGGTCTATAACTCACTGCACTCTACTTTTCCTTTCCTTTTCGTATTCGGTAATGTGTGTTACTTCAATTTTGGAATCTTTAATTTTATTCTTTGAAATGACTAGTTAATTTTTCCTTTTCTGGAATTCAAGATGAGTGGATAATTTCTCTTTTTATTGAACACTGTTATGCATCTTTTTATTTCATTTGATTAGCAACTCTCTTAGTTTCAAAAAATCTTGGGAAAGATTCTTGAACATTCTTGCATGAGCTATGATTGGGAAATCATGTGAATGCATTCTTGTTAATTAAATCCTTGAGGTTAGGGATAACCCAAGGAGGTATTTGATATAATATTTCTTGAAGATTTAGAAGACTTTGTGAAAGGACCCTTCTAAGGAACAAATATGGAACTGAGAAGTTCCAGCTAAAATAGCTATAGTAGTTCAAATTTTGTGATGAAAGTGCTTTAACAGTGGAAAAACGCAGGAATGTGAATTGCTTTAGGAAAGTCCGTGAATTGAGAATTCCATAATCTTTTCATTGTTGATATTTTGTACTTAACCATTTAAGTTCAATTTGTTAATCCAGTTTTAATTACAAAACCAATTTCATTCAATTCTTTAGTTTAAAAGTGATATTACTTACAATTCAAAAATTAAGAAATAGAATCAAGAAAAAGGAATTAAAATAAACCTTTCCCTGAGAACGATTCTGATCATCTGATCTTTACTACCTAACATTTATCTCACAATATAAGATAATTTCTCTCCTATTATGTAAGGGAAGCCCATAAAATTAACAGTTGAAATAAAAAATAGAATTGGAGAACCGTTTCCTTGAGAAAAACTTTGGTGCCAGAAGAACCAAACTCGGAACAGTGACCAAAGTGTCACGTTTGGACAAAAAATTTATCAGACTGCCACGCTAACAGTAAATTTTTTCAAAATGCCACGCGGCATAATTCGCTACACAGTGAAGCGAAATATGCCACGTCAGAACCAAAAATGTCACATGTCAAATTTTGCAAAATTCGCTACACTATGTAGCGAATTTTGCAAAATTTGACATGTGACATTTTTGGTTCTGACGTGGCATATTTCGCTTCACTGTGTAGCGAATTACTTGCATACATAATTCGCTACACTGGGTAGCGAATTATGCCGCGTGGCATTTTGGCAAAATTTACTGTTGGCGTGGCAGTCTGGTAATTTTTTTGTCCAAACGTGGCAAAATGGTCACTCTCCCACCAAACTCAGTGTTCCCTTTATAAATTTTTTTAAAGGAAAATATATAAAAAAAATGGATAAAAAAGAGAAAAAAAATCCTTTTAGTAAAAAGGAGCACCGAACTACCAAAGTTTTTCTCCTTTTCCTTAGTAATGTGATTACTTATTGAGTACTTCTGTAAAAACTTTGTTTGGTTCAAACTATTAGGGAGCTTCTTTAGATGCACTTCTCTTTGTATCCCATGCTTCAAGTCTAAAGAACTTAAATAAGAGGGTGTTAAAGAGATACCAAAGATATAGAATAATTAATATATTCTCATCCAATACTTTAAGATTTATTTTGGGTTGGAGTGACGCTTATCACATGTAAACCTGAAAGGTGGCTTAAAAGAAGTATGAGTTCTGCTAGCCATGTCTCTATGCTTCCGGTTTTTAGCTTAATTAATTATGCCTCCGTAGAAGAATTGATGTCTGCAATTAATCGATATATGATGAAGTTTCTTGATTGATAACTTTGTTAGTAATTTAGCACAGTAGGATTTGAGGGAAGTGTGTGAACTTTTCATTTCATAAAAATGAATTTTGCATTTCATTTTATTTATATCTGGTCTTCATTAAACTTGCGATTTTATTTTTCTACATTTTAGCCATGGCTAGTTTTCATCCGACCTTCCCGGATGTGAGCTTTGTCCATTAGTACGTGTTTTTCAATTTCTAAGGTACTTTCTTTGCATTCTTTTTTAAATAAAATGTTCGAAAAGTTTCCTTTTTTTTTTTAATTAAATGATGCCAACTAATTATGACATATATAATAATATTACAGAATATACAAGACAAATTAATACTTTTAAGGGTTCATTTTTCTGCCGTTACTGCATATAAGTTATCTGCAGTAATGCAGTAAGTCCAATACGACGTCATTTTGGGACAGAAATCATGGTATTTTTGTAATTTTAATTTATTTCAGGGTTATTATAGTATTTATAATTATAATTTTCTAATCTTTTAATTGCAAAATGACGTCGTTTTGAAAGTTAATGCAGATAACTTATTTGCATTTAAATGCATAAATATTTTTCTGTACTTTTGAACCACATGGCCGTTTCAAACTAAATAAGTAATACGGAAATGGGATTCTGACTAGGTAAATAATATGTGTTAGAGTATAATATAACAAAAAATATTTTACATTATCTACATTCACTCACAAAATAATGTCGTTCTGGTTGAAAGATTAAAAAATTATAATAATAAAGACTATTATAATCCTGCAATAAATTAAAATTACAAAAATATCGTGATTTCTGTTATAAAATAACATCATTTTGGGCTCAATGTAAATAATTTATTTTTATTCACTACAGAAAAAACAAAATCATAATATAAACCATTAAAGAGTACTCACCTAACCGTTTAAGTTTTTGGGTTGAATTGATTAGGTAAATAATATGAACCATAATTTTGAAAATTAAAATTTTAAAGTGTTACAACAGCTGATCAAAGATCCAATAACTCTGGTTCTTAATAATGAAAATTCATAAACTAACCGACAGCAGCTTCTTGATGCTGGATACAAAGTATACACATTAACAAGTTTATTTTCGCAAGGCCTTAAACCACAAATTTTCAGGCATAAAAGAGGAATTTAGCAATTCTGACTAAAAATTATTATTATTATTTTTGGTAAATAACATTGAATTAATTTGCTGAAGCCAAATTTAGCGTAACCAACCAAGAATTCTTACGAGAGCGAATGACGACATGGGATTGATGTCAATTTCGTAGCAGCCTTCTTGTTTGGGAAGTTAAATTGATAATGGAGTGGGTTTGGCTCAAATTAGCAACTCTTGTCTCAACTCTCAAGTCTCAGGTACAAACCTCCCTCCCTTCCTTTTTTTTCCAAACCAATCATTTTTGCACTCTTCGATCTATTCCCATTGCCTACGCTATACATCAAGGGCCACGCAGGCACATGGATAGTGGTCTATTCAGATACATACCTTAGTCGTTAATGCTTTTGCTGGACCCACAATGGATGACATTTGCAGCTTGATATTTGATTATTGTAATTGATAGACTCTTTTTCTTGAAACACGTAATTGATTGACGCTGAACTAACCCCCCCTTCTCCGACAATGGCCACGCAGGGTAAATATAAGTTACTTTTTAAGTGAAATTGAAACATGCATAAGGTACACAAATTCCATATCATAACTCAAAAGGTTAATACACGGCTTCATCATAATCATACACTATTATATTCGTGGCCTATTTAAGGTACACTTGAGGAGCCAGCCTTGCCTTATATGTCAATTAGTGCTGTCATCTAACTCTAGAACATGTTGCGTCCGTACATAACCATGGCATTGGTGGCGTTAGTGGTCTTCGCCACTTTCAACCAATTGGTACAGCTCCGAAGACCCCTACAATGGGCAGTGTTATGTTCCATCCCTCTCAGGGGCATTCACCAGACCCTTGTTGCCTTCTTGTCCGAAACACTGCACTTAGGCCTCAAACAAACTCTTCTTTCTGTTCATGTTGCTGTTATCACAATTTTTTTGGGTACCCTTCTTAAGATCCGTGAAGCTTCTTTCAGCTTCATTCTACGGAAACCAAGGCCTCAGAACCACTCCACTGGGAGGCGTAGTGGGTTTTCCAACTTGCTTGGTTTGCTTTTGTGTTTTTGGTTATTCATCATTGCTTATGAGAGTCTTGGTGGTTTTGGGGCTTTCACCTTTCTTGGGTTGGGCTTTATTTTCACCTCAAAAAATATTGTTTCCACTTTGTCTTCTTTCAGGAGCAGTAGCTTCAGGCACAGTGAAATCAGTGTTTCTTTCACCACAGCGGTATTGAAGAGGTTGAAAATTATTGTGGCATTTGGGCTTATTGTTTGTATGGTTGTTGGGTTTTCGGCTGGGGTGATTTTCTTTTCTTATAAGATTGGAGTTGAAGGGAAAGATGCGGTGATGTCTCTGAAATTGCATGTGAAAGAGAGCAATTATGCTGAGAAAGTTGGTGTCAAGAAGTGGTTGAACGAGAATGATGTTTGTGGGATGGTGGAAAGTTACGCTACCAAGTTACAAGAGACGGTGTTTGATTTGGCTGCACAGTATAATATGACTGAATTTCTGATTGGCATCACGAATTTTGTGATCACCCGTAAGGCATGTGTATCTCAAAGGGTTTTTGCTAGTAATATACTTATTCTTGGAAGCAATGCCAAATTGATGTTTTCCATTGCAAATTTCATGATCTTCGGAGCAGCAGAGGTTTGCAATTTTATATCTCAGTTAATGGTATTCATTTCGGTTTTGTATTATCTAATCATATCAGAGTCTGGTGGGCTAATAGCACAAGTGATTGGCATGCTTCCAATTTCAAACCACACAAGGGTTAGATGTGTTGAAATTTTGAATAAAGCTATTTCAGGAGTCCTTTTTGCCATTGTCCAGATTGCATTTTTTCAGGGATGTTTTACTTTGCTTCTATTTAGGTTATTCAAAATACATTTCTTGTATATGTCAACTGTCCCTGCCTTCATCAGTCCTATGCTGCCAACATTTCCATCTTGGTTTGTAACAATCCAAGCAGCTGTGCAACTAGTGATGGAAGGAAGATACATGGTTGCCATTGTCTTGTCTGTTATTCACCTTTTCCTCATGAATTATGTGGCATCAGAAATTCTTGAAGATATGCCTGGGAATTTTGCACATCTTACTGGGCTGAGCATCATTGGGGGAATGATGTTGTTCCCAACTAATCTAGAGGTAAATTTTTACCCACTTGATGCATCATGTTTTGCCTGAATCTCAAGGTTTCACCCCATATTGTTTCAGCATATAACAATTCACAAATCTACAATTAAGTTTAGGCACTTTATGTCAACTCCTTTATTCTTGTTTCATAATTGGAAACTAGTTTACCTGCATACTTTTAGGCCCCGTGACATTGATAGATTGAACGAAGGATAATGTTGTTTCGCAGGGTGCTATTTTGGGCCCATTGATAATTGCCGTTATGATTGCTATGAAGGATTTGAATGCTGAATTCATTTTGGGAAGAAACCAAGCACCAGCGGAAGCTGAAATTGTTGTGGGCTGAAGAGACTTGAAGTTCAGTCTGTGTTGGGGGAAAGACACTTTCTTCTAATATAAAAATGCGTGTGTTTTTTTTTTTTTTTAAAAACAATTTCTCAAAATATAAAATGAAGTTATGTTAAAATTTCACGTGTGTTTTTTTTTATTTTTTTTGTTGTTGTGAGAGAGAGAACGTACATAAATGTCATAATATAGGTAATTGATTCTTATACTACAAGAAAATGGGTAAATACCGTTTTTCTAAGGCGGTTTAAATAAAAATTTAAAAGCGGTTTTACCAGGGTTCATACTTAACTGAGACGGTTAGATAATGACTGCCTTTAAATATTCATTATAGGTTGTTATTTTAACCGCTTTTAATATACATTTGAAGACAATTACAACAAAACCATCTCTAAATAGAGCAATTAGAGGGGCATCCAAAAGCACTTTTGAGTTTTGCCTCAAATTTATGTTATTTATGAGGCGATTACATAATAATCGCCTCCAGACATAAGCTAGAGGCGGTTGTAATAACTAATAACCACCTCCAAATAACATTTCTAGGCAGTTGTGTAGGCGTTTTTGAAGGTAGCCCCCAAGTGTATAATAGAGGCAGTTATAATAACTGCATCCAATGAACATTTTTGGGCAGTTTCTTAAGCATTTTTGATCAATTTTATATTAAGAGAAAGTGATTACAATAACCACCTCTGAATAAAGCATTTAGAGACAGTTAAATAAAATTTTTGAGGTCGTTTATATTTATTTTTTATTTGTAAAAAACAAATACTTAGTTTCATGTTTAAATTATAATTATATATCCATTTTATATTTTTTCATGTTTGTCCCGTTTCATATTTAAATATTTGATAACTGATATAACCTAATTATATACTGTTATTAAATATCAATTTTACTTATTTTGACGATAAAATCCTAGTTAAGGTTTGATAAAAAAGTTACCATGTTTCAATTTATAAAATAAATTTTAAAAAATTATGTGAAATTACAATTTAAATTAAAGTTTGAGATTGTAAATTGATTTGTCTCCGGCATATAATGTTTTAAAGGTAAAAGAGCAAGGATTTAATCTAAATTGAGTTAAAAGAGCTTACAATCATGATAAAGAATGATAATCCATGCTCAGACTCTCATAGAAATCTTATGTTTTGTAGGTAAAACTACATGGAAAAGAGAGCAATTCAGAAGAGTAAAGGAAGGCCAAATCAAAGTCTCCCGCGCCAGTAGCGCATGAGTGGCGCTGTCAGCGCCAGAGAATCTTGAAGCCATTGTTTGACTGTGCCAGTAGTTTGGAACTCGTGCTAGAAGCGCCAATATTGCAAAATCGCCTAGCGCTAGAGTTGCGCTACCAGTGCTAGAGCTAGAATCAAGTCTTATATATCCCGTGCCTGTAGCGACGTAGTGCACCACTAGCACAGGAAGCACATGACTGTTTTTATATAGAATTAAATTTCATCTAAAAGAGAATTCTACACCAAAGATTTGATCAAGATTTGGGCAGATTTGGAATTAAGCTATAAAAGGAGAATGAAAACCCTTATTGAGTATCTTTTGCTAGAACAAATCTTCTGAATTGAGAGAGCAAGAGAGCATTCTTGGAGAGTCTTGGTTGGAGATTTATGATTCGGAGAGAAGAAAGATTGAAGAATTTGTTCAACTATTAACTTTTCTTCTTCTTCTTCTTCTTAATGGTTTATGTTATTTTCTTTTTATTCTTGGATTTGTTTAAGCCAGCTATGTCTGGCTAAGTTTTTTTTTTGTAGTTAGGATTATGGATCCGACGTGAATCTTTTTTGTGGTTTAAATTGTTTCTTTAATAAATTGTCTCAGATTGTTTGTGCTTTACCTTAGATTAAATTTATATATTCTTGTATGAATTGATCACTCTTATGAGGATTTGAGGGTTAGGGTTCACAATAGGGATATTAGGATTTTAATCCACACAGGGGTAAAATATCAATTATTGCATGATCTAGACACAGGCTTGCTTGGATTGCAAACTTTCAAAATTCATCAAGTTTAATGCTTAACCTAAGAGGAATAACTAAGGCATTAGGTTCTAATTGGGTTAAAGGGTTAAAGTCACTAAGAAATTAAGATTTAACCAATTAATTAATTAAAAGGTGAATTGTTTGAAATAATTGAGTTAGTTTATTATAGAAATTAATTTAAGCTACTAAAGGAGGATCGAAGTTGAATTTTCCCTAGCTACATCTTCCATTATTAAATTTCTAATACATGTTCTAGTTCTCTGCGTTCTTTCCTAAATTCTAATTTCATTGCAATTGTCTTTATTTTTATTCTTATTTTAATTCAAAATCATTCTTCTCTACACCTATTGATCTGTCCAAATTAGATGAAATAATGAGAATAGTACTTGGTGCATTTAATCCTCGTGGGATGATACTTTACTCATTCTTTATTAATTGTACGATCGGTATACTTGTCATGATCACAACATAAATCAAACAACTCTGAAAGCCCAAAAAATGTGGGGGCTCATCCCAAAGTTATGACCCTTGATCAGAAGACCAATTTCAAGTGCCTTGTCAAATATGAGCCCTTTCTAATATTGGGGTCTATACGCATTACAATTTTTAAATCATTCGTGACCAATACCAATTCTAAAGGGTGTAGTCAAATTTAATGTCATTCCGAAATAGTCACTTGGGTGGGGTAAATCTTGGTTAATACACATTAGAATATTTAATGAATACAGAGGTAGTATTAGTCCCCTTTCCTCTTTTAAATTTTAGAAGTTGAAAAAAGTATTCAAATGACATGTACATATACTTTGTTGATGGTAACAATTTATTTGTTGACATTCTAGAATATGACTAATGAATATATATATATATATATATATATATATATATATATATATATATATATAATAGTTTAGGTGATAGAAATAATTTATTATCAGTATAAAAGAAATTATTAAACTTCAACAATGATTGATAGGGTTTATATATATATATAAAAAATAATTTAAGTGATAGAAATAATTTATTATCAGTATAAAAGAAATTATTAAACTTTAACAATGAATGATAAGGTTTAGTATTTATCTCCCTAAGTAATGAACTGGAGAATGAAGTCTTTCACTACCTCATTGAGTTACTTTGGTTTAAAGGACTCAGAAAACTCTACTCCATGCAACCTTCTATATCAAAGTCATTAATACTTGAGCACCATTTTTCTCTATCAACAGCAAAAACACCTTCTCATAATCCACAAGTGGTTTCCCACCATTACCATTTATCATGCCCTCTAACCAAGAACCTTGATGTTATCTAGTTTCTTAAGATAATTTTCATCCCTTGTGTTATAATACTCATGATCCCGGTCAACATCAGTTGGCATCGTTAGTTCCCATAACTAGATCTTGGGTTCAAATCCTTCTAAATGCAAAAAAAATTATTGGGAGAGCTAGCCGCACCATAATGTGGATATGTAGGGACTTAGATCTGGAGGGGAAGAAGAACGTGAAGCAAAGAGAATTAGGGAGAAAAGAGAGAAAGTGTCCAACAATTTTCTATGTTTTTCATTCACGCCCCTCTAATGGGCTATATAACCAATTCTGTTACATTCTTTTCTATTTTCATCATTTTCTAAATATAACTAAAATAACAAGTACTATTATTGAAATGGGCCACTCAATTCATTGAAAATAGTCACTCAAGTAAGCAGGTTGTTTCCTACTACGTTTGGGCCTGTTTATCTCCAGTCCACTGGTTTGGTGTGCAACATCCCTTTCTCGATCAAAATGAATCTTATCTGCGAGATGTATTGGCCTAATAAGTACTTCATTCGTTTGGCATGTCACAATGTGTGGCCTAAATGCATTGTCGGTGGGAAGGTTCTAGAGATTGGGTGATCGTGGAGGCTAGCTGGTAGCTACTAACTCTTGGGTGGTTGAGGAAGGGATTAGTACACCAGATGTAGTGATCTGACTGGTTGCTTCTGCGACCAAATTAATAGGCCTGTCTTCACCCGAGTCAGATGTTGATGAGATGGGTTGTCCGAAACCTTTCACCTACTTCATTGTCTCAGACGCATCTCTACCTCTATTGTCACCCTGAAAGAAGGTAAATGTTAAATCTTTGAGATATTTTTCCCCACCATGAATCCTTCATCTTTCCAGGTAGATTCCTCCGGTGGTAATCCCTGCCATTGGACGAGAACCTGTGGCGTCTCACGGCCCTGCCTCCAAATGATTCATTGGGACACAATAACCGCTGGCACATGCATCGGCGGTGTACTTTGGAGGTTCGAAGTCAAAGGCTGGATCATGTGTTGTCCATTGGAAAAGAAGGGTCTCAACATAGACACATGGAAGACTGGATGTACCCGCGAACCTTTCGGCGGCTTAAGACGATAGGCCACCTGCCCAATTCGTTCCAAGACCTCAAAAGGCCCATAAAATCGCAGACTGATTTTCTGGGATGAACGTCGATGGACGGTCAGCTGACTTTATGGCTGAAGTCGTAAGAGTACTTGATTTCCGACTAGAAAGGTATGGTCTTTTCGCTTACGATCTGCTTGTGCCTTCATTAAAGTTTGTGCCTTTTTTAAGTTTTGCTTCATTGATGCCAGGACCAGAGTACGCTGATGGAGATCTATGTTCATAACTTCAAATGGAGTGGATCGCATAGTGTATTCCAATAAACAAGGTGGTATTCGTCCATACATGGCCTGAAACGGGGTGGTTTGAGTGGAACGATTGTATGCCGTGTTATAGTGAAACTCGGCCCAACTGAGGAAACGATGCCACGTAGATTGGTTGTCGTGTACAAAACAACGCAGGTACTATTCCAAACTCTGATTCACCCTCTTTGTCTGACCGTCAGATTGGGGATGGTAAGCTGACGAAAAATGAAGCGCAGTCCCCTATAATTTGAAAAGTGTCTTCCAAAATTCATTGGTAAAAATGGGGTCGCGGTTCGAAACGATGGATCTTGGAGGACCGTGCAACTTCCCTACCGTGTCCCAAAATAC